AGAGCGGTTGAAGGAGCTGGGGCTGTTTAGTTTGAGGAGGAGGAGGCTGAGGGGAGACCTCATCACTCTCTGCAACTGTTTGAAAGGTCACTGTAGAGAGGTCGGTGCTGGTCTCTTCTCAGAGGTAATTAATGACAGAACGAGAGGGAATGGCTTCAAGCTCCAACAGGGGAGATTTAGACTGAACATTAGGAAAGAATTTTTCACAGAAAGAGTGGTCGGGCACTGGAATAGGCTGCCCAGGGAGGGGGTTGAGTCCCCATCCCTGGAGGTGTTTAAGAGCCGTTTGGATGTGGTGTTGGGGGATGCGGTGTAGGGGAGAACTTTGTAGAGTAGGGTAGATGGTTGGACTCGATGATCCCAACCTAGACAATTCTATGATTCTATGAACTCCAGGGCTCAGGAAGGGGGGCTGAGCTCCCTGTGGCAAGCAGGGAGCAGTTACAGACCCTGCTGGGCCGGGATTCTGAAAAACCCCGTGATCTGGGGGAGCGGGGTCCACCCAGCGCCGCGTTTGCTGGAAAAATTCCACCTTGCCATCCTCCTTCCCAAAGCACTGCAGAGCGGCATCTCTGCCGCCATTTGCGAGGGCTTCGACGGCCGCCCTGCCGGGCTGGGCGTTGCGAGACGGGGAGGGACGCTGCTCCCTTCGTTGTGTCATTTAACTCTCTCACCTGAAGTTCCGGAAGGGACAAGCCCAGCGCCGCATCCCGGGGAGGGATGAGATGCTGATAACGCGCTTGACAGCTGCTTATCGGAAGGTGTTTTGTGTGCCTGTGGCCTCTCCGCAGGGTGGGGAGCGGATGGTGCGTGGAGCCCTCGGGATTTAACATTTCTTTTGCAGCTTTCTGCGATGGAGGAGAGGGGAGAGCACTCGCAGAGCCTCCTGCTCTGTCTCTGCTCTGGGCGGGGGTGGGCGACGGTCCAGCACGAACTGCGGAGGGCTGCGAACACAGTTCCTGCGTTGGCCTGTGCTGGGAAAGGGTGAGGGGCTGCGGAGGAACAAGCCCCACAGTGCAGAATGCCACTAATTACTTTTCCTTTCTTTTTGGGGGATTCTCTAGTGGATTTTGCTCTGAAGGTGGTCCAATGGTCAGAATCGGAGACAGTACGACTTCAGCTCTGGGACATTGCAGGTATGCTCACACGAAGCTGCTCAGGAGCAGAATTTAAAGCTTTCAGTGGTTTGGCCCTTTTTTTTTTTTTCCCCTTTCTTCCTTTCAGTAGGAGTCTGCTGCAAAAATAAATCCTGAAAGCCTGTGGATCCAAGGGGCAGGACTGCTCTGGTTTGCAGTGCTGTCTCTAGTTTGCAGTAGTAATTTAAATATTTAATCAAAAGCCCATCTGCAAAGAACGCAGCAGCGCAGATGATAAACCCCATCGAGCCTTTCTTTTTTATTTCAAACCCAGAGCAGAGTGGATGGGGAAACAGGCTGATTTGTAGCTGGATATGCAACTTCTCAGCACCGAGTTCTCTGTTAAAATCCTGATTTTGGCCTGATCCTTTTATCGAAGCGTGGAGGGGCTCCACTGACCTCGCGCTGCCCCAGCGGCCGGCATGGGGAGTGGGGCTGGGGAGCTGCCATGCGGCTGCGGGGCGCCCTGCGCCAGCGGAGCCGCGGGTCCCTCGGGAGCCGTGGTGGCAAGAGGAGAGCGTTGGGTACCCCCGAGGTGGTGGGGCTGGGCCGGGAGCGGGGCACGCTCCGGAGGAGATGGCGTTAGATGTGATGAAGCAGAGCGAGGAGCACCCGCTCCCTGGAGAGGCAGCGAGAAATGCTCTTCCCAAATGTCCCGAGCAGCAGAAAACCGAGGACAGGCTGGAGCAGTAGCGTCTCTAAAATGGCACCTCTGGATCTAGAGGGGTGAGGAAAACAGGGCTGTGGTTTCCTCCGGTTTCGCTGCTCAGACGCGTGCGTCTGGAATCCTTAAAAAGAAAACAGGAAGGAGAAGTTTGCAGCAAGAGGATTGCAGCAAGAAACTGATTTCAGTTTCAACCCCGAAAAGGCGCTTAAGGTTTGGAAAGCAGAGGGGCCACGCTGGTCACGGCGCTCTTGTGGTGCCCCGAGCAGAAGGGGATGCACACGCCGAGAGTCGCTGCCGCGTGTCCTTCCCCCTCGGAGGGGTGCGAGGACGGCCAGACGGTGTGAGGTGACTCCAAGTGCTCCGATCTCGATGGCCTCTGTGCGAAGAGCCTGTTGACCAGCTACGGGGCTGCACGGGAGCCCACAGCGAAATCTCCGCGGTGTCAGAAATGCTGGTCTTCCCCGTGCGATGCGATGAGAACGCCCTGTGCTGCGTCCCCCATCCACGCGAGTACAATCAAACCGCGCGGCGGAGCTGCTCTCTGGGTGCAGTCCTGGCAGCACAGGCAGCCCGTAAGGTGTAAGCAGTAATAAAGGCGTATGTGAGTTGTGATGGTTTCTGTTAGTATCGATTTTTTCCTCCCCAGAGAGCCTGGGCTGGAACGCTGCGCCTGCAGCAGCGCGAGTCCACGCTGGTGGCGCGGTCCCCTCCGCAGCAGGGACGGCCGCAGGTGGCCCTGCACCCTGCTGCCGGCGGGACTCTGCTCGGAGGGAGGCGAATGGGTGGTCGGGGACACTAAATTTAAATGGTTACACCGGGAGTAACGCAAGTATTTCTGGGAGAGCTGAGTGTCTGGGTCAGGATTAAGCACTGCCCGGTTTGTCCCAGTTCTGTGGCTGCATCGCTGAGGCGCCCCAGCAGGACGCAGCTCGGTGCCCCTATTTCCTCATTATTTTAGTGGAGATCGGTAGTGCCAGCTGAGAAAATGATGTTATTTGCATGAATGAATCTAAAAACGGTAACTCTGGAGCGGGGGGGGGTTTATTTTTTTTCCTCTTGATCCTGAAGGGCAGGAACGCTTCACATCCATGACGCGGCTCTACTACCGGGAGGCGTCAGCCTGCATCATCATGTTTGATGTCACCAACGTCAGCACCTTCAGCAACAGCCAGAAGTGGAAGCAGGATTTGGACAGCAAGCTCATGCTGCCGGACGGGAACGCCGTGCCTTGCCTGCTGCTGGCGAACAAGGTGAGCAGCTCCAGAGGGGCTCCGGGCGTCTGCGGGTCCCTGTGTCCGTGTGTGCGCCCAGCGGTGCAGACTGGAAGGAGACCCCTTTAGCACTAAGCCTGGAGTTGTCCCACAGCCTGTGGTCTTGTTAATCCTTTCCTTAAATCTTGAATTTTCTGTCTCTAGCCAGGATTCTCCTTGATGAGGACCCTGGTAGGACTTGATGCGCGGGTGGCACCAAGGAGCTGTTAACAACTGCTCTGTCCTAGGATGCAGCGCCCTGTGTTGTCCTGTCGGAGCTCGAGCTCTGTAGCTCCAGCATTAGAAAGCTTTTCTTTTTCTTTTTTGGTCTTTAACTTGCAGTAGCCTGCGAAGGTTGGGTATGACGCTGCAGGTAAAGTTTCTGTTCAGAGCTGCCAGAGGGATGTGTCGTTTTCATGTGGATGCAGTGTCAAGTTTCACCCTGTAGATTGGTTGCTGTCTTTTAATGATTTATTTTTCTTTCTTGTAAAAACTACCTTTGTGTTCTTCACGTGCCAATGTTGACTCGGCAGCCCCTTCCCGATTCAGTTTGAGACTTGCCTGGTTCGAGAGAGCCTAAAACTACAGATGACTCAAAAACGTGATGGGTGGGCAGGAGAGTGGCTTTTCTTCTCCGCTTCTCCACGAATAATGCTTTCCCCCGAGAGCTGGTTTAAGGGATCGGTTTTGCCGGCATTCGGGAAATCTGTGTGAGTGTGCGCGCTGCCGTCCC